TTCCAACTCTACTCTAGCAATTGAGAGCTGAGAAATGCTAAGACCGCCAGAACATCACAAACTTTGCATGTCAACAAGAGGCGTTTTGCCATCCAAGAGCATCATTCGGTCCGCCTGGAATCATGGATGTTTTTGTGTCGCTTACTACTAGTAAAAAAGGACGCTACCAGGAACAAAGGGCAAGAAGCTACAGTAACTAAGCGCATTACTACTAGAAACAAGAAGCTACTGGTAACAAGTGCATCGCTAACTATACCAGGACCCTCCGAAAACGCGGGGTGTCCGTTTTCGAAGGACTACCCCACACTAGGCTAGGCCGTTCGGCTTCCTATTCCAGGGCACCCCTGTCAGGTCGGAGGGTCGTATAGTAACAACTTCAGACCACGGGAGCGACGAGATCGGAGCGCCTTCAGGTCTTCCGGACCCGGCAGAAGCTCTTCGATTCCATGAGCCCTCAACTTCAGAACGACGTGTGCCACGGCTGACCCCTTTGGTTGGGTTCGAACATGGTCTAAACCAAACATGAACAGATAACAATCACAAAACCAACTGACCTTTTTTGGTTCCTTGTCTTTTTCAGAGTTGTTTTTTGGGTTCGAAAGGTAACATGGTATATACTCCGGTCGGAAAGAGAACACGTTCGACCTATGCCATGTGGGCAGAGGAATGGGTGGATCGCAGAACTCATCGCCTCGTGGGGGGAATGGGAGGTCCGCTCGGCCCATCGAGGCGGGTTCGCCGTGGGGGCGAGATCCTGGGAGGTCCAGCAATGCCGTGGTAGTCCAGCCAAACATGTCCCAGACACGACCTGTTTGGGACTGCCATAGGACTGCCGCCCCGACCTCCAAAACCACCCCAATGTATCCCAATGTAGGCATATACGGCATACATGACACCCCTGGCCGTTTCTCGGCAGTCGTATGGCAGTGGTCGTGTTTGGCTAGGGAGCTTCCACCCAGCAGGTGAGCACCGTTGGTGGGTGGTGCTGCGTGTCATTCTCGGAATGGTCGTGCTGGGGGGGGCCCGGGCCCAAACACTGGGGAATCGAGGGGTAGGTGTTGGGTGAATGTATATAGGCAATATTATACCCGATAGGGCTCCAACCACCTCCTGAGAAGGTGGTTGGGGTGGGTTTTGGGGGTCTAACCACCTTCTGAGGATATGGTTGGAGCCCTTGGGATATGTATATATATATATATGGGCTTGCTCCATTTAGAAGAAGGCCCGCAACCTAACCATCATTATCCACTGTTACTGGTAACAGGATATACCCAAAGTATACTAGGTTGTTTGTTCTTCGGCATCCTTAGTAAAATATGTGGTTCTTTGGGATTCTGACCATGAAATCTATGCTTCAGGGAATCCTAGGGTATATAGTCACGAAGTATACAAAGGAGTGGAGTTTTTACGTCTCACTTTTCTTATTGTTTGTCCCTTCTTCCTCCTGCTCGCGTCGAGGTGCATGAACACCCAGGTGCACTGGGTGAGGCCGGCGTTTCTGCGTTTTGGTTCACGGCAGTTTGCCAGGACATGCCTGGAAGGTGGAGGCTGTTTAAGGAGACAAAGTCTGAGGGATCAGTCGAAGCACATCTTTCTCACCGGAAGAGAGTCATTTTTGCGGTAAGATGCGACTTGGCCCTGACATGGACACCTACTTTCAACGGTGCCACCCCTGATATCTCCATAAATCTGTCCTCAGCAAGTTGTGCAGTTGCGCGCCTGCACCAGGAAGGTGTGGTTTTTCGATGGCTTTATGAGGTGGATCGAATCGAAGGCCGGGGTCTGGGGTCTGTGGTGCTCAGTTGAGAGAGGTTGCCTACAGGACCCACCCACCTACCAAGCTGCAGGTCACCATTTGTTTGATTGGAAGACTACTCTGCGAACAGAGGCAACAAAGGTTAACTTTTATAGTGAAACTCAGGGAGTGAGCCCACCAGATCATGTTGTTTGTTTCCATGTCAACTGCTTTGCTGGCCAATAAGCAAGATGACTCGCAAGATTGCTGGCCATCACCTTCCAAGATCTCAACCTTGCCAATGAGAAATTGCAGTCATTTTTATTCAGATTGACCGTGTGCGGCTCTAGTCAAGTCTCCCTCTTGACCATGCAGGATGCACTACGAGTTCGGCTCTATAGGGATCCAAAATCCATCCTAACCCGCTGGACGATGTTGACTTCTACAACAGGTGCACAGCATCGCCGCATCACCTCTTCTTTGCGGTGATCCTAGCTACACACTGCTTACGGCAAGCAGCTGTTCTAGGTCTAAGGCTGCCTAGTCGGTGGAACCCGGGACATCCACCGACTTAGAAAGGGGTTTGACTTGATCCACCTGGCTCAGATTCACATGTCCTCGCTCTACCAATGTGTGACCATTCCGGGCGATCGAGAACACCCTGGCACCCTACCTCCGGCCTCATCTACGATCACAGGTGATCACCAGCACCACCCACCCCTCAGGCTAGGCCGTGGCTCCTGGCCCCACATCTGCCAATGGCTCCTGGCCCCACATCCGCCGGCCCGCCGTGGCCGTGACCAGGAGACGTTGGGCATTTACACCGGGCACTTCTACGCCTGTGTGGCAGACATCACACGGCAGCTCAACACGGCCGCCTTTGCGCAGCAGGAGACCTTTGCCAATCTCCAGGCAGTTCGGTCGGGTCGAGACCGGTGCGAACGAAGGGAAGAAGCCGTGGGAGGGACGTCGAGTGGTGTGTGACGAAGCCGAAAGACACGACCCCTTCACCTGGGACTGCCGAGAAACGGGCCTGCCGAGTGGCACGGGCGTGGCCAGGGGTGGTGGTGGTTTGGGGGTCTGGCTGTTTCTGCGGCGGCAGTCCGTCCTGGCAGCTCCCATGAGTCGTGTCCTGGCAGTCCCGTTGGTTTGTGGCGGACATCAGAAGTCGGACATCGAAACGGACATGAGCAGCCCGAACCCTTCAGGGCGGTCCGATCTCTTAGAGAGTTGAGAGGTTTGGGGCCCAGTTGTTACACTTGGAAGGTCGGATGGTCCTGGTATGTAGGTATTTGAGGTATTTCACCTGGTCCCTACGGCTCCAAATACATTCTGAGGAGGCACCTGGAGTTCTAGGGGGTGGAATCCTGCAGTGCCAGGGTCACTCCAAATGAAATCTGGGATCGTTGGTTGGGTTTATGTCATCCACTCTGACACTATAGATGAGATGATGTCGGACCCAGGAGAGCGATGGTGCTACGGTCCTTGCGGGAGAGAGAGGCGCAAAAGAAGCGAATAAGCCAAGTCGTGCTGATAGCTTTAAACGTATTGATCACCCAGTCACCACAACTTTGTTGTGACTATTCTGACTGCTCGTGCCAAAGTGACCCTGCCTGTTTGTAACCACTTGCAGGCCGCAGGCCTATTTGACTTCAAACCAGGGGATGAAAAGGTCATCTTTAAGAACCAGGATGACACCCAGTTACTCACACACATATACTGTAAATATAACAAAACAGTTCTCATGATTTCCTAGTTATGGGTTTCTATTGTCACCTCAGAGACTGTCGTTGCCCAAGTGTACCTAACCTGAGGTTCGGTACGACCGGATCCCTATAGGCTTGCTGAGTCGATGGGTTTCCACCTGTCTCCGTCGGCACGGGGCCAGGTGCTCTTTATCCTGTCCAAAGGCGGGTCCGCAGACGACCTCGGCACTAAGTGGATGAAGTCAGACATGGCTGGGGCGTTCTCCACGTGAAGAATCCAAAAGGCAGCAAAACAGGTTTGGTTTGGTTGAACTTCCGGTTGAAGATATAGACTCCACGGCAGAAGTTGGACTCCATTGCAGTGATCAGTGTTTTTTAATTGTCACCAAGTAGTCCACCAAGCTGGATACTTCGTTCTGGAATCAACTTGTTTGAGTCGTCCTTCTGGAGCTCGCAAGACAGGAAAGCTTGCGTGTTTCCAAAGACCGCAACCATAAAGCTGAACTCGTCGGAGTAATTCTCAACTCACTTTGAGGTGGTTCAACATCAGTGCAGAACTACACACCTCAAACCGTAGGCAAATCCCCACGCAAAAAGAGCTGGGCTGAAGGTATCTAAATTTAAAGATGACACAATCGCTTTTTGACAGGAATTGAGGGAGGTCAAAAGCCTGTCCCGCATCTCCGACCTATGACCGAGGAGGGGTCGTGGTCTCACAAAAATATGTTATGGCAGACATACACGCATGTACGTGTCTATCTATCTATCTATCTATTTATCTATCTACAGTATCTATCTACAGTATCTATCTATCTTATCTATCTATCTATCTATCTGTCTGTCTGTCTGTCTGTCTGTCTGTCTGTCTGTCTGTCTGTCT